TTGGAATTTACTGAATAATTAACTCAGTAATTACTTTGTAAATTCTCTTTCCTGGAGGCTAAGAAAGATTAGTTTGAGTGAAACCTAGCCTCTTAAGCCAATGAAACTAATAGTTTCCTAAGCTAATTAGTTCTTACAATAAAGGAGAGAAGGTTCTACAAGGACGGAGAGAGTTAGAGAAAATCTTTTTTCCTTGGTGGTAGAAAAGAAAGTTTGGCAAAAGAAAGGGAAATATGATGAAAATTAATGAGAATTCAAATTCAACTTTTTGGACTTGAGAATTGAGCACTTAGGTAATTTAGAAAACATTAAATGAGTGGCTTAAGTAAAAGTAATATCATTTAGCTACCATTACTCCGTATATCCCCTTTCTTGGAGGCTAAGAGAGATTAGTTTGGACTAAACATGGAAACTTAAGCAAATGATACTAATAGTTGCCTATGCTAAGTAGTTCCTAGAACAAAAGAGAGAAGGTTGGAGAAGGACGGAGAGAGTTAGAGAAAAGCTTTCTTCGTGAGTGGTGGAAGAGAAAGTCAGAAAAAAGAACGGAAATTAGGATGAAAATGAAAGGGAATTCAAATTCATCCTTTTGGACTTGAGAATTGAACACTTAGGTCAATTAGAAAACTTTAAATGAGATGCTTAAGTTAAACTAATATGGTTATTGCACAATTAATAAGTAAAATCTCTTTTTTGAAGAATAAGCAAGATTAATTTGAGTTAAACTAGCATAACCAAATCTAGTTCATGGGTTAGTGTGAGAAGCTCCTGCATCTCTCTAGAAACTTCTGTTTCTAGGGTTTCAACATCTCATTGAATACAATGTCCAGAGTTAATAAGTTGGTTTCGGGTAATGACGAGGGTAGATTAGGCTTGTTAGTGACGAGTGAAAAATTAGGGTTTGTAAACAACAACTTTGCAATCTTGAGTGAGAATTTGATGGAGCCTTCTGAAATCCCACAAGTCCTTCAATGTGAAGTTGTAGTTCAAGAGGTAGATCGACTCTTGGAACCATAGATTGATCAGCCGTCCAGTTTAGGCGATCGACACCAAGAAATCTCAGTTAGGGTTAACGAGAGCCGAACTGTGGATGAGAGTGTTATAGCATTTGACATTAGGGAAAAATTGTCGTCTCTTGTTCCTAGTGATGAAAATATCAAGAGTTCTGTACAACGGTTGGAGGAGCCGAAAGCCCCTATGCTTCCCGTATCTGGTCCATTGGATGTTGCTGGTAGTTGTCAAGAACCATCGACCCCGATTGGACAGGCTATTAACCCTAGATGGTCCGAAATCGTGGAGGATGAGAACAACAGTTTTCTAAATCTTCTAGATAGCCTTGAGGTAGCCCGAAATAGAGGGGAAAACAAGAATCGATCCGATCAGAGCGATCTAGTTCTTGGTACCAATACTGAAGTTCAGGAGACATTCATTGGTCCTAGCCCCTTTCCTCAAGAAGGACGAGGTAGGGGTGGTGGTAGCTATCGTGGGGAGAGAGGAGGTGGTGGAGGTGCTGGAGGGAGCAAATCCAGTTAGGACGTAGGCCAAGGGCCTAATCAGCAGAGATCGTGGGCCAACGTAACGGCTGCGTCCACACGATCCAATATCAAGCTAAGGTATGTTCCTCCAACTGTTGTTGATGATAGTATTGTGGTAAAGATGCCGACTAGATCGGACCCTTTGGAGAAATGGGATACATGTCTTGTGGGATATTTTGTTGATAAGGGAGTAGGTTATAATTATCTACGGAATAGTGCTTTTGGGGTGTGGAAAACTAAAGGTCGGAAGGAAGTACTTACAAATGGAGATGGCTTCATGTTCCTCATCTTTGATACCCCAGACAGTTGTAGAGAAGTCCTTAAAGGAGGCCCGTGGTACATAGGAGGGTATCTTCTCATTCTGAAACAATGGAAAAGAATGATGAAGTTAGCCAAGTAAAAATCTACAAAAATTCTAGTATGGGTGAAATTCTTTAATATTCCGCTGGAGTATTGGGATCCGGATGGTCTAAGTCGCGTTGCTAGTGTAATAGGGAACCCCCTTTTCATGGACCAGCTCACGGCTAGGGGCAGTAGGGTGGCATTTGCAAGGTTTTGTGTTGAAATTGAGGCGACTTCAAAATTTCCATCTTACTTCCAAATAAGATGTGAGGATGAAGCTGTGCTAATTAGAGTTGAATATCAGGGTTTTCCATCTATATGCCAACATTGTCAAATTTTTGGACATAACACTGATAAGTGTGTGCCAAAGCAAATTGCCCAATTAGTCTCTCTTCAAAAGACAACTGAGGAAAATGTTTCCGATCATGAAGAATGATGGAAAACCATTAAAGCAAAGGGGAAAAGGAAGGTAGGGGAACCTGAGCTAGAGGTTATTCCAGAAGCTGTGGAAGTACCCGAACCAAACAATGACAATACCAACAACAGTCCAACCTGTGGAGATTCATGAGACATTGGCTGAAAATTTCTCATCTGTGGAAGAACAGAGCTCCGAAAGCAGTGGAGTGGATAGATTCCAAGAAAGTGTCCTGGAGATTACAAAACTGGTAATTCTTCAGGCTGTAGAGTTTCTTGAGGCAGTGACTAGTGATACCACCACAAAAAAAGAGATATCCAAACCGATTGTGCCCCCTCATCAGGCTACCCAGACAACAAAGATCAAATCCTCTGGCAAAGAAAGCAGTAGCCAGAGGAAAAAGAAGAGGTAACTGCTAGTTTTAGTTGGTTGTGGGTTTGTCTTATTATTTTTGTTTCCCAATGACTGTTAAAATTGCTGCTTGGAATGTTAGAGGATTGAATGATCCATCTAAACATAAGGAAATTAAAAATTTGGTGTGTTTTGGAGACCAAAATAAAACTGATTAATGAGGGTAAAATATGTGCTCAATGTTTTGGCAATTGGTCTATTTTATCTAATTTACAACCAACTGAAACTGGTAGGGTTTGGGTGTGCTGGAATAATGAATTTTGTGCTGTCTAAATGATTTCTATGTCCAATCAGCATATTTTTTATAAAATCAATGATTTGGCTGCTAATGAGGAATTTTTTGCAACTTTTGTTTACGCTGAAAATAAGCACATTTTGAGGAAGAATATTTTTGAAACTATGTATCACATCTCCCGTACTAAATCCAAATCTCCATGCATCTTTTTGGGTGACTTTAATGCTATCAGATATCCGCAGGAAAAAGTTGGGGGATCTTCTAACTAGACTAATGATCATGAGGAATTTAACACCTATGTTAATGCTTCTGAGTTGGCCGATTTATCTTATGGGAGCTGCAAATTCACTTGGGCTAATAAAAGGGTTGATGGGGCCTATATAGCCACTAAAATTGATAGAGTTCTTGTTAATGAGTCTTGGCTTGACAAATTTCCTGAGTCAACTGCATCTTTTCTCCCATCTGGTATATCTGACCACTCTCTTGCTATGGTCAATATCAGTGTCGCTAAGAGTTCATTTAAAAAACCTTTCAAATACTTTGATTTCTGGTCCCAACATCCTGAATTTCTCAATACTGTGTCTAACACTTGGGATCAGTATATTAGAGGTGTCCCTATGTTTAGGGTGTGTCAGAAGCTGAGACAGCTTATAGCGATCCCGGTCGTCCCTTTACTGTTCTGTTGTATTCCGGACTCGGTTCCGTGAAGTTGGTAGTGGTATCTATCTTGTTGTCGTCCTTTAATTCCACTTGATTGAGTTTTAGGACG